TGAAACGTGGTCCGCGGCCATTTTCCGGCCCTGACACGTGGTCCACGGCCATTTTTCCGCCCCTGACACGTGGTCCACGGCCATTTTTCCGCCCCTGACACGTGGTCCGCGGCCATTTTTCCGCCCCTGACATGTGGTCCGCGGCCATTTTTCTGCCCAACACGTGGTCTGCGGCCATTTTTCTGCACCTGACACGTGGTCCGTGGCCATTTTCCGCCTCTGACACATGGTCGTAAGGAGGGGGACTCTCCCTCCAAGCAATAGCCATCTCCCTGTCCTCCACACCAGAACGGATTAACGGTAATTACATTGAACCTTATGGGGAAATTTGCTGCGGGTTGCGACCAATTCGGGCTGCAACCAGATTCATGGAACGAATTAAGTTCGTAAACCAAGGTTCCACTGTATAAGGAAAGTTCCTACAGTTCCACCATGAACTTATCTAGAGATAGTTTTGACTGTATGTGACAGATTGGAAGTTGTACATCATCATCTACGGTCTCCACTGCTGAATTTCAGTGGCCTCATTCCCTAATTATCAGCAGCTGCCATTGCATAGTGGCAGAAAGCAAAATGGTTGCTGTGGACATGGTGCTTTTTCAGTCCACGATTACTATAACTTCTAAGAAAGCTGGTATAGATACTGTATAGATGCTCAATGTTTAAGAATACGCACCTGCAACTATTAGTCAGAAATCGTTACTGGATTTATTTTGCTTGAAAAGTTATAAAAAGGAACCAGAAAATAATAGCCCAGACCTCAATATCATTTTATTTGCTGTAGAGGAAGCTTGAGAAAAATCAGCCGCCACCCATAAGACAAACTATCTTAATAATCACATCAGTAATTTACAGTTATGTGTAATAGAGATTACAATAATTTCTTTAAAACCAAGTAAAAATATTTTGTAGCAAATTAAGATGTTTTCTTCAATCTACTTTTTTTACATCTAATTAGGAAATTGGGATTATTTAGTGATCCCAATGCTGACTGCTCTTTTTAAACTTTAGTGTTGACATTAATTTTAAAAAAAACTCACTTCAATTTTAATGTACATCCTGTTTTTTACATAGTTTCAAGTATAGGTCATATTTAATATTTTCTTCAATATATACTGTATCTGTTTGACTTAAGTACAGGAT